AGTGATGACTTGCCTTGCGCGTAGTCCTGTGGGTCTTGACCTTCGCTCGGATCCGCAACTCCCTCGGGCTCTACAAGTACGTGCGAAGAATTGATTTGAATTCCATTACAATTCAAATAAAATCCAAATAAAGACCAAATCGAAAAGCGAGCGCTAGAGGCGAATTTTATATCAACTATGTTATCGCGAAATAGGACTATTCCTCATCCTAAGATTTTTTTTTTGTGTCTCCTAAGTAAATTCCTAAGAATTCAACACATTTATTTAGTTCTTAAATAAATCCAAATTCCTACCGCAAATTGATTACTCATAGAGACTACCAAAATATAATTAAATTTCGCAACTTTACGACTATAATTAATCTACGATTAAATTCTAATTATTTTAAATTTTCTAAACTTCTAAAATTTTACTCAAATGCCTATTTATTTTCTTTTTCTTTCTTTTTCTTTTCCCTTTTTTTTCTTTTCTTTCTTTTCTCTTTTCTTTTCTTTCTTTTCCCTCTCCTTTCTTTCTTCTTCTCTCTCTTTTCTCCCTCCCGGCTCCTTTCCCCCTCCCTCTCTCTCGCCTTCTTGCCCACCCGGCGGCGACGGCGATGGACACAAGGGGGGAAGGCGGCGGCTTACCGACAGCGGCGGTCGGCGGCAACGACGGCGACGGCAGCGCAAGCCCTGGCGCGGCACCCGGCGTGGCACGGCGGCTTCGTGGCGACGGCGCGGCGGCTTGAAGGCGGCGGCGCGTGGAGAAGGGGGGGAGAGGGGAAAGATGGAGGAGATGGGTGTGGGGTGGAGAAGACGAGGGGTCGGGGCTTTATAGGGCACGGGAGAGGGGCGGGCAGCCTTATGGCGACGCGACGGGCGGCGCGCAGCGCGGCAGGCGGTGATGGCGACGGGCGGGCGGCGCGGCGGCGACGGCGGTGCGACGACGACGTGGCGTGGCAGCAGCGCGAGGCGCGAGGCGGCGACGCGACGGGCGAGCGGCGCACGGGCGCGGGGCGCGAGGCGGCGACGCGACGGGCGAGCGGCGCGGCAGGGCGCGGGGCGCGAGGCGGCGACGCGACGGGTTAGCGGCGCGCGGGCGTGGGGCGCGAGGCGGCGAGAGGGCGGCGCGCGGCGACGGGACGACGACGCGACGGCGACAGGACGACGACGCGGCGACGGGACGGGCGACGGCGCGCGGCGCACGGGGCGCAAGGCGACGCGACGGCTTAATTAGAGTTAATCCTTATTCCATCGCGTTTAAATCTAATTGATACGAATATGGCCGCGATAATATTTTATTTATTTCTATCTTCGCATAATCTTTATTTTTAGATTATAATCTAATTATTTCTTTAACCAATCTAGTTTTAGGATTTATTCCTAATTAATTCTTCTTTATTCGTGATCTATGAACTTCGAAATCAAAATCCAAAAAAAATCATCAAACAAAATCGGCATGATGTAATTTATTAAAAAAAAAGTTTTTGAAGGCTCATGTTTTTGGAGTTTTAATTTTTGTTGGTCAAATTGTCAGAGTGTTACACGGGCGCCTCGAATAGAACAGCAGCAGAGAAATCACCACGCTACAGATATCACGAGGAGAAATAAATCAGGGAGGAGAGATGGAAGTGGCATGCACAGGCAAAGAATAGGCTCAATGAGCCATCGAGCGGGCAAGCAACACCAGCCCCACCTTACAGTGACAGTAGCCCACATAGACCGAGCGCATTTATGTCAACCGGGGACTGTAAAACTTTAGCTAGAGCTATAGAACCGGCTCATGCACCACAGATCAAGCAACCGCGATGGGCCCACCTTGCAGCGATGGTAGCTCATATGGGCTAGGTGTATGGGCACGTACAAAGCCTGCTCTCGCCACAGTGCATCAATGACGTGTCGATCACCTGTAGGCAGTGAGACACATCCCATGCTGAGCAGTTTCATCCTCCCAAACTGAAAAACCGAGGCAATAAAAACATGCTCCCAGTCCATGGAGACAGTAGTACAAAGTGAGACAAGGGCCCGCATGTCATTGGAAGAGGTCCTATGGCAGCCCATGCACCAACAAGCAGAGGACGATGCCCATATCCTGTACATGCGTGATGGTTGTCCAACCTAGCTGTACCAGCAAAGCAAACACAATGCAACAAACCTTGTGGACCAAAACTGAGAGGGCCCACACTGCAGTCACCGATGGTCCATAGACAGCCACCAACGAAGCGTGCAAACCCATAATAACCGGGCTCCTTGCAATACACGGTGGACATCTCGACACACAGCGCAGCGCGAGGCGCGAGAGGATGTACGGGCGGAAAACGCGCGGGAAAACAGAAGGCAAAAAGAGAGGTGGGAAATAACGCGCCTGGAGAGGCCGAGGGCGACGTGGATAGAACCGCACGCAGCCACGCCTATCCAAATCGCTGTGGGAGCGCAAGTCAGGGGGAGGTTTTAATTTAACCGATATATTTGATCTTAAATGTAATTTATAAATTCAAAATAATATTCCCTAAAAAAATAATAACATTAAATTTCATCATTAAGATATATTGTCAGCTTTCATATAGTAAATTTTTTATGTGCCACAATTTTAACGTGTCATCAGTCTAAGTACACACATTTTTTTCACATAGCAACACACGAGAATATTTCCACAAGAGTAAAATGCATGGAGGGTCATTAAACTTGTTTAAGTGTGTCATATAGGTCACTCTACTTTTAAAATGCATATTTGGAGTCACTAATGTGAGGTAAGTGAGTCATTTACCCATCTAACTATCCACGCAAGCATACTTTGTACACATGGCATGCCATGTAGGATTGAAAAAATTGCATTTGGATATATGCAGGAAACCCCCTATGCATTATGATTAAATCTGACTCATATATACCAATCCCTAAAAAAAACTGACTCATACCATACGCAATAAACAAATCCCGAATTCAACTAACTCATACCATACGCAAAACAAATCCTGAATTCAGCGCATGGCACGTTCGCAGGAGGCGTGATTTGCATCCTTGCCGGAGAGGCAATACACACCAGATCATAGAGGCATTCTGTGACTCATATGCAGGAGGCGATCTCAACAAAGGAGCACACGTTGTGAGCCATGGCGCCGCACATTCACATTGCAGGCAGTCCACCTCCAGAGTACAGTGAGTTTCTCTTAAGATCGATATCTTTGTTCTTGAATCGATTTATTTGTTCCATAACTTGTTGTTTTGAAACAAACACGATCAGTAAAAGTGCCACATTTGTAAATCACGTTATGTATTTAGGTCCAAAGGATGGCTTGTTCTCTTTAGAGATTATGCATGGTGGTTTCTTTCAAGGTGAAGGTTCTGACAGGGGCTATATTAGTGGCAATTTGGATTACTTTGATGGATGTGAGGTAGATGCATGGTCAATGCTCTAGATTGAAGATATATTGAAACAACTTGGACATGCAGAGGTAGATGATTTAAAAGTTTTCTGGTTACTTCCTGGGAGGGGATTAGCTAATGGGCTAAGAAGGGTGAAGGCTGACGTGCACACAAATAGTATGGCTGCTTTGGCACCTCGATTCAGGACCCTAAGGTTGTATGTTCATAATAATGTCATCACCGAATTTGCTGAGATGGATTCACTCGGAAAACATGAGTTAAATGCAAATATCAACTTTAGAAAGGCTCACATTTCAGAGGACTACCAAGTTGACAATATAAGTGATAATGATGATGAGGGTGCTGAGTTTACTGACAGTGATTATGAAATAGATAAAGGTGATGATGATTTGTTTGAGAAGTGGGTGGACAAGGATGTCGTTGATAAGCTAGTTTCACCAAAGGGCAAACAATTGTCAAGTGCTGGTGAGGAAGATGAAAAATGACATCTATCTAGTGAGGAAGGTTTGGATCCTTGTGATACTTCTAGTAATGATGAAGAGGCGCAACTAAAATTCAAGAGTTTCATGCCTGAGGACATGATAAATCCATAGTTCTTTGTTGGCATGGTATTCCCAGCAGTGGAAGCACTAAGGGATGCTATAAATGAATACAGTGTCAAGAACAGAGTGGCTATCAAGATGCCTTATAATGACAAAGATAGAATAAGGGCTCATTGTGATGAAACCTGCCTATGGAAGTTAAATGCTTCACATGATAGCCGATCAAAATGTTTCATGATCAAGACTTATATCGGCGAACACAGATGCAACAAGAAGTGGGAGCTAAAGACATTCACTGCCAACTATATTGCTAACAAGTATGTGGAAACTTTTAGGGCAGATGATAAGATGACTATAAGGAATTTTGCAAGAACAGTGCAAAAAGACTTTAACCTGACACCATCTAGAAGTAAGCTTGCTAGAGCTAGAAGAATAGCACTCAAGAAGATATATGGGGATGAGATAGCTCAATACAATCAATTATGGGACTACGCTGCTGAGTTGAGAAGGTCTAACCCAGGGAGCTGTTTTTTCTTGAACTTGTCAAATGGACGATTCAATACACTATATGTATCATTAGATGCTTGCAAGAGAGGATTCAAAATCGGTTGTAAGCCACTAATTTGCTTAGATGGTTGCCACATCAAGACAAAGTTTGGGGGACATTTGCTCACAGCTGTTGGAATTGATCCAAATGATTGCATTTTCCCTATTGCCATGGCTGTAGTGGAAGTGGAATCAAGGAGCACATGGACATGGTTTCTTCAGACCCTAAAGGATGATTTACATATAGTTAACACAACTCCATATACAATCATGACTGATAGGCAAAAGGTGAGAATATGCATGTATTATCTCATATACTCTATGTCATACATGATTTAATTTTTACATTCATGTAATCAGTGAAATCCTATTCATTTGTAGGGATTGATACCGGCTGTTGGGGATGTGTTCAATGATGCTGAACACCGGTTTTGTGTGAGACACCTCTACCAGAATTTCCATGTGTTATATAAGGGGGAAACCTTGAAGAATCAACTCTGGGCAATTGCAAGATCAAGCAATGTAATTGAGTGGAACAAAAACATGGAGAAAATGAAAGCTTTAAACGTGCAAGCACATGAGTACCTAGAAGAAATCCCACCAAATACGTGGTGTAGAGCATTCTTTAGTGATTTTCCGAAGTGTGATATATTGTTGAATAATAGTTGTGAAGTTTTCAACAAGGGAGATATATTTTTCCTAATTGTACATGTGTGCTTTCCAATTAGCATTATCAATAGTATTAACATTTCCTCTTTCAATCTGTAGGTACATTCTTCATGCAAGGGAACTGCCAATATTGAGCATGATTGAGAAAATAAAGACCCAAATCATGACTAGAGTGTACATGAAGCAAAAGGAGGTTGAGGAGAAATGGAGTGGAAATATATGCCCAAAGATAAAACAGAAACTAGAGAAACTAGAGAAGAATGCCGAGTTAGCCAATACATGCTACACACTCCCTGCTGGGAAGGGTATTTTCCAAGTCACCTACAGAGATCACCAGTTCATAGTTGATATCAATGTGAAGTGTTGTGATTGCAGACGCTGGCAACTCACAGGAATACCATGTAGTCATGCCATATCATGCTTTAGGAATGAAAGGATACAACCTGAGGACATGGTATCTCCATGCTACTCATTAGAGTCATTTCGTGCTGCATACAAATATAACATAGTGCCTTCAAGGGATCAATCTAAATGGGAAAAAATGAATGGTGTAAATGTCTAACCTCCTAAATATGAAAAGAAAGCAGGGAGTCCAAAGAAAACTAGGAGGAAGCAACCCATTGAATTGGAGGGTGGTACAAAATTGTCTAAGCATGGCGTGGTTATTCATTGTAGTTATTGTGATGGGGCTGGACACTAGGAATAATTGTGAATTACTTGGTACAGCTAAAAAGATGAGACCAAAAAGGAAGAGGAGTGTACAAGTAATGCAAGATGACAAAGATGTTTACATAAATGAGGTATAGTTAACTATATCCTTTATGTACTGTCACCTTCGGCAAGCATTTCTTAATCTTTTATGTCAAATGCAGACCTCGTTTTCAATTGTTCCAGAAGAATTAGTACAAGAGCGCCAACATAGCACTTCAGTGTTGACTACTTTATTAGAACAGGTTAGTTGCATGCATGGTTTAACATTTTTCACTGTCACTATCTGTTACCTACTCATGTTTCATACTAATTTGCTTGTTAGGCAACATCAACTCAATCCTCCATTAACCAGCTAGGCCCTTTACCGGATTCAGTCTTCATTGAAGCCAATAGAAATACACTACCACAGCCAAGAGCGACAACATCTACACACGTGGGCAGAGCAAGGATGAAGAGAAGCAACACAAGATCAACAACGGCCAGATCATCTAGACCACCTAGCCAGAAGAAAAAAAATTAGAAGTTATATGGGTGCTTTCTATCTTGTGTTTTCAATGTTGCAAAATGCAAAATAAAAGGTGCACAATTCAACAATTGGATTTATTCCCCTTTTGAAATTTATGGCTTTTGGTTAGTGGAACTTAGTGTTGACTGCTCATGGATGTTATCAGTTAATGTAAGATCGTTTTCTATGTGATTTTGAGATGTGGAACATCATTAAGAAATGTTGATTTATGAAAGCCTGTAGTGTCTCTGAAATTAAAAGTAAAAGTAGAAGCCACTATGGCAAAACATGCATGCCAACAAATTGGTGAATTCTTATGCCATACAATGGTCTAGTATCTGTTAATTTGCAATGGTCTAACACATCCATTAAAAAATTAATCTCACATATGCATTCAGCGGGAATAAGAATATTGGCAGCCTCCTACGAACGTGTCATGCACTGATTTCAGGATCTGTTTACTAGTCAATTTATTTAGGGAATTGATACGAGACGATTTAATCACAATGCATAGGGGTTTCCTGCATATTTCCAAATGCAATTTTTTCAATCCTACATGGCATGTGTACAAAGTATGCTCGCGTGGATAGTTAGATGGGTAAGTGACTCACTTACCTCACATTAGTGACCCAAATGTGCATTTTAAAAGTAGAGTGACCTATATGACACACTTAAACAAGTTTAATGATCCTCCATGCATTTTACTCTTTCCACAATTGCATTAAAAATATTTTTTTGTATGACACGATTTGGATGTGTCGTCGGTTCAACTTCACGCATTTTCTTCATGTAGCAATTCAACAATTACATTATAAAAATATAATTTCTACGTGTCACGATTCGGATGTGCCATCAGCTCACTACCACTCATTTTCTTCATATTCTTCATATAAAAAGTTCAAATCAATTTTAGCAACACTTTGATTAACCGGTCCAACGCACGAGCCACGCGAGAGGGTAATCCGTCCCTCCTGCCGCCTTACAACGGATCCGCGCGAGAGGGAGACAGAGAGACAACAGCGTCGGATCGGTGCGACCAGCAACGACGACTTGGAGCCAATGGTCAATCTGGTCGACGACAACTAAAGCAACGAAGTGACCACTCAATTTTATCTCCTCGGTTGAATTCTGCTAAAAATGTTTTCTTTTATTGTTGACATCAAAATCACCAGAACTTCTACTTTAAAATTTATTTGAGATAAAAAGTATTAACTGTAAAAAAAATAATTTTTTTACACGTACACGTCAATAAATTGTCCAAATGGTTGCTTAAAATCATTTAGGTAAATTCTATCCACTGCGATGTTACCCGGTGCAACGCACGGGCATATTTGCTACTAACAATTAATAATAAGATTAAAATAACATTCACCCGTTGCAACGCACAGGCATTTTTTCTAGTTAAATATAATTGTGGGTTTTAGTTTTGTTGTTATCTGATGCCCACTAAACACCTAAAGCTCAACATACAAATATAGTATTTATTAGCACTTCTTAAACCCACATGCAAACATGCCACGTCAACACATTAAGCACACAAAGCTCAACGACGTGCAAACATATAGTAATTATATATACAATTTATTTAATTCTAAAACTAAACATACACATGCTAAATCACCATTCTCAAATCATCTTCATAATATTTCAATCTAAATCATTTCGTCATTTCTCCAATATCTAACATATATCCCGCATCAAAGTGTGGGGCATCATCTAGTTAGATGATAAAACGTGAATATTATTTTATGCATGACTTATTTTTTAAAATTTGTTCATAAATTTTTTAAATAAGACGAGCGGTCAAACATTGAACATGTAAACTTATGGCTGCACTTAAATTGGGACGAAGGAAGTAGTGATCAAACTATCACAAGACTAGTAATTTGCCCATGCTAATGCTACGGTGTAATAATATTTTGATTAATAAATTATATTATTAAATTTTATGTTAGTCAAATTACATTTCTAGAATCAGTCTCAAATGTTAATTTAAGACAAAGGGCAAAAAAATATCATATTGTCTGAAAAAATAATTTAAGACCAACAACTATATCTGCCGAGTTCTTTCCCATGAGTTCCCAACCCTATCTCCCCCATTTTCCACGTACACGCTTTTTAAACTGCTAAACGGTACACATAATGTGAAAAGTTTATATAGGAAAGTTGTTTTAAAAAATCATATTAATCTATTTTAAGTTTTTTTATAGCTAATACTTAATTAATCACGTGTTAATCTATCGCTCCGTTTTCCGTGCAGAGGGGAGGGATTCCCAACCTCTCGAAAAGAACACAGCCTAATCAACTCGACACATGTCTAAGGACAATATATGTCCATGTGTGGCGGGGTAAAAAAAAATTGAAGACACATTGCATGATTAGATCCAGACATTCATTTCAAAAGCATTATAAGACCAAGTACATAGACATTGAAATGCCAAAAATTGACCTGGTATGGCCAAACTCAAAATGAAAGCTAAACTCTGTAAACATTCAAATTTTGTTTCTCACACAACATCCCACATTCCACCTGCTTTGATTGGAGCGAATATGGTTAAGAATATGTTCATCTCGGATCCAAAATATACCTTGCTTAAGAAATAAGTTGACATGCACTGCAATTTTTAAACAAATATAAAATTTGTTAGCTTGACCTTTAGAATTATAATAAATCAGTACCTATTCAGGATATTTAACTGATTATAGTGAGGTACATAAAAGAATTTCAAATTACTGCAAATAACAGGAGCATCCACATTGGTCTGTACAATTCTAAGTCATTACTTGCATGGTCATGAAAAGGCAGTCACATTCTAATTCTGAGACAAGAAAGCAATACCTATATAAGGGTGTTACAGGCCACATAAGGGTTATAGGCCTCCCAGCTGCACTTCCATGAATCTGGGATAAAACAAATAGTGGCAATCCATTTTCAGTTAAAGGGAACAACGGAGTTGATAAATCAATATAAAATCAAATGCAGATGTTATAAGTCATATACCTCAAGAATAACCGATTGATTTTTTTAATTGTAAAAGCAATCAACCTAGAAATAGAGGGCAAAGTTCATCGATCATTCAACTGATAATGCCTTAAGTACGCCCGCATTCTTGAAGCAGTCCTGCTGCCTGGGCAGCATGCACTCTGGCCTGGCCATCATCGCCACCATCTCCATGGCCAATCCCTCCCCCAAATTTTGGTTAATAATGAACATGTTATCTGATCATTTCAGATGAGCGGGATGCCTAACCTGAAATCTGCCTTGGTTTGTCCCTGCGGTAAGATGAGTGCCACGCTGCGCCCAACCGACAGAAATTAACATTATAGAGGCCTCCTTCTTCCCTTGCCTGAAATATTGTGTGGAGGTTCCAACGGCGCTGTCCATCGCGGTAGGCGGAGAGTATGTCGACCACGGCGTCTCATCCAACCATAACCAGGTCCAATATACTTAAAGCAATTGGTTTCTTAGGACTGAAAACATTAACGAATTTCAGTCTCTCAGGAATTTTTCAGACAAAAATGAATTGAAATTTCTTTCAGGTTACAAATCCTGAACATCTATGCTGTGCATGTTGGACTGACGTATAGATGGCCATGTGGGCCGCCCGGCACGGCACGGCCCAGGCCCGACCGTGCCTGGGCCGAGGCTTGTGCCATGCCAGCCCACATGCCGCACTCACGGCCCAACACGCCTCGGGCCGTGCCGGGCCGGCCCGAAGGCACGAATAAGTCTAATTTTCCTCCCTCCTATTGGGCTGTGACATATATATATATAGCTAAAAAAAGTCTATTTTACCTCCCTCTTCTTTGGGCTCTAATATATAATTAGCTAAAATAAGTCTATTTAAGGTCCCTATTTTTTGGACAGTGACATTTATGTCTATTTGTAGTCCTGATACTTTGTGTACTGGGCCTAGCATGCCGGCCCATCGTGCCGGGCCGGCCCGACCATGCCGGGCCAGCCCAGCGTGCCGGCGGGGAGGCCCAGGCATGGCCCGGCGGTCGGGCCGGGCCAGCATGGGCCCGACCCAAGTCGGGCCATGCCGTGCTTGGGCCGGGCCAAAAAGCCATGCCGTGGGCCGGGCCTTCGGGCCTTATGGCCATCTATAGATGGATGTACATTACTTTTCTTTCTTCTTGATCTAAAAGTGAACTTAAGCAATTCTAATCCCAGAGATGGCCCTAATTAAAATCTGCCTGTCCAACGGTGCCTGTTTTTATACATACATGGATGCAACAAAAAAAATTAAAACCGTTTATTAATCTATTATCATTGATGAATAAGTATAATTAGAGCATTTGCCTTATTACAAGATTAGAGGAAGAACATAATATGTAAATGCTCCCTTTTTCATGGCTAACATTTGATAGAAAATCCTCCCTAAAAATCCATCAAATGTAATTATAATGCAATTACAATGTAAGTATAATTAGGGTGTAATAAGTCACGTTAAACTACACAAAACAATTGCTAGGTACCAAAAAATCCGTCAAACTCATAATCTGTCATGCAACAGAATAATGGAGCTATAAAAAGATTGAAAGAACTGGATAATAGTTTGGAAAGCCTGAAAGCAGGAACTACGTGCGATTTGGGCCAGCAGTTCACAAAGCAAATGTACAACAATGCTTGTTTGTTCAATTGAAATTAAAGAAGTGAACTTCTACAGTGTATGTATGTATGATGAGAAAAATGTGGACGACTACGTAGCCTTTCAATCTCATACCTGCTATGGGGGTTCCTGCTGCTATGGAGGCTCCTGCTGATGTAGCTCGTAATTGCCATAACCATAGTATCCATTGATGTCCCGTCGGGGTTAACCTGTGTACAAGCAAGATGCAGCTAGCATCAACAGACAAGAATTCAACACCGTACACAGAAAAACCCCCTACAAATCCCAATATGCTATCACAGTAGAAAATCCAGAAGATGGCGACCTGGAGGAAGGCCGCCCGGTGCCCTAGTTCTGTGGCCGCCTGTCGAGCTCGTCCGTGGCCCTGACTGAGGCGAGGAAGGCGTCACGGTGCGGGAGACCGGTCGGCAGGGGATTCCGGTGGCGGCGCGATGGATAGCAGACGATGGCGGCGCGACGGATACCAAACGACGGCGGCGCGACAGATACCAAACGACGGCGGCACGACGGAGACCGGCAACAGCGCGACAAAGGCCGGCGGTGGCGGATCGACGGCAATTAGGGTTGGTCAGGCAGTGCGCTCCTGAGGGGGGCACAATACGTCAATTGCGTGTGCAGGGCAAGGAGATGCGTCAGGCGCGTTGGGTAGGGCCATAGGGGAGGTGAGTCGATCAGGATCGTTCGATCGGGATAGATGAATACGGAGTGTAGGATTTGATGAATGAAGTATGAAGAAACGGAGTGTAGGATTTGATGAATGAAGTATGAAGAATGTAAGACCCACTTGCTGAATTATGAATTAAAAACTAATAATATGCCCGTACTAACGTTACGGTGATGTTTCATAAGATAACAGTGATAAACAGAAAAGGCAATGTTTCATTAGGCAACGGTGATAAACATAAATGAAATTCCTGCTGAGAATGAAAACAACAGTAAATGAAAATGATGATGAACAATAAGTATACTTTCACAGGTGTAGAGGCTGGGTTTAATATAAATCCATTATCTAAAAGAATAAGTGTACTTGTTCCTCACAACATACTGTTTACACACAAAACTTACTGACACATAAAACTCATTGCATGATCAGCTTCACTTGCTTTCAGAAAGGTTCTATAAAAGATAGTAGCAACACATACAACAGGAGTGGAGACCAAACATAATTTACAGGGTCATTCACATGTACAAGTGCAATAGACATGCTTTCTCCTTTTCACGCCTCTAGAAGTAGGAATATTGATTCAAAAGAATGGTATGCTAATAGTTCACAATCCTACTCTCCCAAGTTACTCTAGGAATGTTGACTTTGAAGATCATCTGATTTCCAAACAACATCATTTAAGGTGTTGGAGAGATTCTTGTAAAACTTAGACATTAAAATTACGTGATTCAGTACAAGACATTTAATCAAAGGCTAAAAATTAAATGATAAATTATAAATAAGTGAAACCTAATTTACTAAGCTTGGAGAAGAATAGGCTAGGACGAAATCTTATCAGATTAATGACTCAAATTTTCCAATGAAAGCCCATGAACAATAAGGTCTTAGTTCACATGATCGCCACATAAAATATCTACCTCATGGAACTCCAGGTTGCACGCTCTCTTCATTTGGTTGATAATAATGCACAATAATAGTCAGATTGAAGATTGAAAAAGCTTTTACACAAAGCAGATTGCAGTATAGCATTTTTTTTTATATTGCCTCAGTAGCAACATTGGGATTTCCTTTTCTCCTTGTTTTTACCTTTTCCAGAAACTATTCAATCATCAACTAAAAAGTTCAACACGCAGGAAATATCTATTTCAATTTGCTATAAATTATGCCTAGTTCTATTTCAACACGCAGGAAATATCTTTTTTTTTTCAAGGGAAATTTATGCAAATAGTTGCTGGACAAGGGGAGCAGACCTTGTAAATTTTTCTGGACATGGAATACAACAGTTAATCTGCATGAGAAGCTGAGACAGTAAAAAAAAAATCTGAAGGCTAATAAAAATCTGAATTTATGCACCATACAGAGGATATATATATAATACTATTATGAACTGTAAGTCTGCAGTATATAAGAACATTTGTAAGAGGTGACTCTGACACTATAGAGATAAAAAGGAAGTGTGATCCAGTATGCATTATCATTAACTGATGCATTAACTCATACCAGGAAAAGCTTATGTAAAGAGAATGCATTTTCCTATAATTCAGTACTACACTCATCAGTTACTATGAAACTATGATTTCCATGTTGGCTTGCAAACTCAATAAAGCAAAATATGTGTGTTCATACTTTCAAATGCAGTGTATGCTTCTCTTGATCAATCAGAATGTAACTAAGCATTCATATTTATCCAAAATTTATCAAAACTTAGCTTGCTTCACCACGTCCACCAATCCTAAAGTCCTCCTTGAATATAACATGCATGGACCGATCATACCAATCTCCTCTGGTTAATTTCCACGGAAAAAAAATATTTGTTATGAATATAAAAGATCCAAGAAGAATACTAATGGCAACCTAAGCTAAAACCAATAAGTGGCCAAGAAATTCAGGATTTGGCCACTCCTCAAGATAGCATTGTGATCCCAACATGTGGGTCCTGATCCCATATGCCATAGACACATAAGTGGAAAATCTTTTAACCCGATAAAATGATTTTCAGTTTTCAGTCAAAGAACAATGATCTCTAAGAAACAGGAATGAATATAGAACGGAGGCAATTGAGGGCCATAGACCTCCCTATTATTCCCGTGTCGTGATAGTAAGCTAGTAAGTTTTCAGACTTCCTATCTTATATACACTGTTCAGAAACTTTCAGCGTTGAAAAAGATAATGTTGCATCCCAATGTTTACCTTCATGAAAATAATACATGTCTATTAAGAAAAAAAGTTATGCTGCAGCAGAATATTTATGCATGAAAAGTACTAAAGACCACAGGAGAACATGTAAGTAACCTTGAATTAAATAACCGTGAACAACAGACATATCTAATAAGCGATCATCCGGTACACATGTAGAAAAATCACCCTTAGAAGAGTGAACATTTAACATCAATCAACCATGGAAAACATTAATTCATGTATTTTCATCCAAACTAAACAGCTATTTGGATGGAGTAAATCACTTATATATGTGAAAGAAGATAAGTGCCAAATGATAAAGAGATCGAATTCCCCCAGGACAGAAAAATATATTACTTTCATTCATATGGCATGAAAAGAAAATAAGAAAATGTCTAAAAACTAGATCGATTTGTAAGATATCGAAACTATTTCTTGGACTGAGATAGGATGGTTTCCTTCAGGAAACAGCCCCAATACTTTTGAGTCTTTCACCGTTTTGTAACATCATAGAATTCATTCTGCTGTTATACTATACTCCATCGTTTTGTGTCGACCTACTATATCTATCCTATAGCTAACTAATGAGAATTAATTTTCAGAAGGTGTCAAATTAAAAGCCATCAAAATGATAAGCTGGCTTAATTTGCATTGGGATGCTTGTGTGCGAGGCAAACACACCTCTGCAGGCCATGGATAGCTAGTCAGTCGCATATACGCATCGGTCCTGGCATATATTGATGTACATATTGATGCACATACATAACTGCATGCAGATCGAATAATCGATGGAGAATTCGAGATGACGAGAATAAAAATCAAGGGTGCAAGAAACTGAATCATGTATCACTCATTAGATGTAATCACAAATATTTATGCCAGGTGAAAAACAGAAGGCCTAGCAAAAATGATCAATCCTACAGCAATTCAGATAAGTCTCAATTCAAAACTAATTTATGAACATTTGAATTGAATTCCCAACCTGAAGTCACAAATCCTTGTGGCTCGCCTCCAGGGACTGCAGTGTGGATGTGGTTCAACTGTCCTCGGCTATCCTCGCTGTGGATCGGCGGTCGGCAGCGGCCGCGGAGGAGATAGTCGGCGTGGAGTAGATCGGTGATGCGGGCGGCCGAGGCTGTCGGCAGCGCCCGCAGAGGAGGTTGTCGCTTGCTTCCTTGGCTGTCCTCGATGTGGATGTGGATCGGCGGTCGGCAGCGCCCGCGGATGTGGATCGGCGATTGGCGTGAGGAGCGAGGCAGCGTAGCGGTTGGCGTGGCGCCGGGGCGTCGGCGTGAGTCGCGGCGGCGTCCGGGATCGGGCGAGGCGAGGCGACGGCGGCAGCGTCCGGGAGTGGAGCCGGCGTGGCGAGGCGGCGGCGGCGGTGTCCGGGAGTGGAGCGGGCGTGGCGACGCTACGGCGGCGGTGTCCGGGAGGGGCGGCGTCGATCTGGAGGAGGTCGGTGGGGAGGGGCGGCGTCGATCTGGAGGATCTAGAGGCGGTCGGCGGTGAGGGGTGCCGGCGGCGAAGGCGGGGCGTCGGAATCGAATCGACGGCGCCGGCGGCTGCGCTGCACTTGGCGTGAGACTGTGAGAGGGATGGAGCGAGGAGGTTGGGCGAGGGGAGGCGGAGCGATCTGGGCGAGCGGCGTCATTTTCGGCTCAGGTGCGGTGGTTTCTGCTTGCGGAGGTTGAGGGGTACGTGGGATGATATGAGCCATTGGATTGGATAATCCTAGACCGTTGGATTTGATAAATGAAGTACGAAGGATGTAAACATCAGGCGGTGAATTATAGGGTAGAAAATAATATGGTAGATTACAAGGTTTAGAATCAAAATTATCGGAAGCCAGATGAATTTTAAGAGTACACTGTACACATCCAGACAAGTATCGTTTCGATGAAGCTTTAAATGTTGAGTGATGCTTTATCTTTATCATTTATAAAAGTTTAAAATGTTTTTGCCTACTTTTCATACGTTGTTCCAGTCCGATTCGGTTTTTCTCTGGCTTTCTCGAGTCTGTCGCATGCACCTACGCATAGCCGTCCGACTGCCGGCCAATCTACCATCACTAGCCGATCTCCTCAACCGGAGCTTCCCTTCCTATTCCCTCTCACCACCAGCTCCGCCTCGCTGAGAAGAACCCATTTCTCTACTTTTCCCCTCCGTCCGCCGCCACCTTGAACCACACCAGAGCCTCCTCTCTCTCCTCAGGACCGAGCTTTTGCCGACCGCGTTCCCAACTTCTCCCTCAATTTCACTGTTTACCGCCACATTCCCCGGATATGCAGTGAGTGGGAACACGTTCTGCCTCCGACGTCGCCGTCTCCCGGCTACATGAGCACCGTCACCCTGCTCACCCTCCCGTCTCCCTCCTCTCGGCTCCCGGAAAGAAGAAGGAAGAACGGAAGGAGGATGGAGCAGAGAACGAGAGATAAAAAAAAATAAATACTGACAGGTGGGCCTCCGTACAGTGCACTTTTTTATTTTCTCTATTTACTAGCAAAAATGCCTGTGCGTTGCAACGGGTTAAAAATTATAATGATAATATACGTTTTTCATGCGTAACCATCTCAAAGCAAATGTTTGTATTGATTCTTTGTTGCTAAGACAATCAGAAAATTGGAACATCTTCAATATAATGGCACAACCTCAACGATGGCAACCTTACTGATGCTTGTTTTACCTAAATAATTGGATTATTCATATGACAACATGCATATAATCTAAAATACTCTTTCAATCTCATTCTTGTAACCAATTATAGAATCAATCAAATTCTACACTACATCGCATGGTTAAATCTACACAAAACAGAGTCACTGTGCACTCTTCTCTAAATAAAAACTATTAAAAATATATTTATTTTTTAATAATATTTTCATATCATATGTTATCAAGAATAGTAGCTATACTTAATAAAAATAACCTGATAATTGTATATAGAGACGTGCAGGGTCTATAATACAGGTGCCGGGGTTACGGATAAGGTATACCCTCTACCCTTGGATATACGATGTATACCGATACGGTATACCTGAGCGTATACGGGTAATTCCTGTATACGTTAAGGAAATCCATCACATGATAGGAACGGAGTCCACCAATGGAAGGAGTCCTACTCGGACAGAACTGGGTCGTTACCATATCGTGTGGGGTCCGATGTCTCCGAGTTCTACTTAGAGATCAACTGACCCGCGGTATAAACGGGATCCCCCGGGGAGGACCTAAGGCATCGAATCTTACCGCCAACACAACCACCACAGCCTAAGAAGTCGGAGCCTACAGGAGCCAAGTCGCCGGGTGATCTAGTCGAACCAACTCGACTATGGTCTCGTCGGTATCATCGAGTTCTGTTATTCTCTTTGTAATCTGTGGTTTCCATCATATAATCCCATACCAACTGAATTAGAGCTATTACCTATTAAGGGGCCTGAACCAGTATAATTTTTGTCTTCTGTTTGCTTGATGTCGTACTACGTAGATCCTCATACCAGCGTACCCCAATACCCTCTATATCCGGTCTACGGGTATCTCCCGTCGATAATGGCGCGCCAGGTAGAGGGACTTGGTGCTTAAGGCTCTACTACTATGCCATCAAGTCTCGTCGACAACAACATCAACCCCAGCATCAACCAATGAGTCTCAACTTCAACAATGCTGGTGTGGACTCAAGTCGGCGAAATCGTCTTCCTAGTCTACACCACGGTGCCGATCTCAACTGGTCCGTCAATGACCGGAAGTCAGAACGTCGTGGTTACGACCCCAGACGGCTCTATGTCGAAGGATCCTCCCGTAGAAGTGGAGAGCGGAACATCGACGACGTCCGAGCCCGAGAAAGATCCTAATACGGCCAAATCTTGTCCTTCCGACGAGAATCACGAGCCGACAAGGACAACTTCCGAGGCAACAAGGTCCTGGTGTCCTATCCACAAAACCAGGAAACACACCTTGCAAGCTTGCTGGGTTTTTCTCGACGTACAAGCTGAGATCCGTGCCTGCAAAGAGCGTGGAATTCAACGTACTTCTCCAACCCGTGATGTCCATTGTCCTATTCATAAGACAAAGAATCACGACCTCTCAAGCTGCAAGGTTCTTCTCAGCACCATGAGGACGTCACCTCCTAAGGTTCAACAGTCACAAATCTCTCTTAGAGATGCGGACAAGGAACGAGGAGTGACGGTTATCTCAGATCGATTCGTTGGGGTAATCGACATCGATCCTCACGAGCTGTCTGTTCTACACTTGTTCGAAGACCAGACCTCATCATCAACGAGTACACCACGTGATGTATTCGCCATCGATGGGACCAACACATCTGCGCACGCTAACGCAGAACGGAGGATCAAGTGGTTACACCGGCCCAGCACATCAGGGCCATCAACGCATTGCTGAGGGAAACTCCTTATGACCCCATTCTGAACGATGATCTCGAACAGTGGACAGAACGGCTACGGGAATCCGTAGCTAACCTCAGTAACGCATTCGAGGAGGCCGCTGCTAGGGCACAACCAGAACAACCGCCGAACGGCGGTGCTGACGGAGAACCACCTGAACAGCGGACGTCACCTCGTCAAGCCACTCCTCCGCTTCGGGGCACCAGCGATCTCCTCGACCATCTAAACGGTCGCCGAGAAGCGCGACGCACTCGAGACAACGACGACCGTTCTTGACATCGCGTCTCCTCGCGACGCCGCGGGAACGAAGAACAAGGAGGACATCCAAGCGAGAACCGAGACCGTGATAATCGCCACAACCGCCACGAACACACCAATCGCGAGCAGCGGATGCCGGGCGATACTGATCGAGGACGACATCGTGATGACGATGACGGCGGAGATCGACGCCGGGACAGCAACGGTGGGCGACGACAAGATTCTCGAGAACCCGGACGTCATTCTCGTAATCGCACACCGGAACCGAGCGACTCTTCATCGTCATCGTCATCATCCTCATCATCTTCGCCATCGGACAGACATCCACGGAGAACGTACGATCACCGACAACCCACTGCCCCCGGCGGTGGGTGTAGAGCTTTCAGCCGTGCTCTGCGGGACGTCCGATGGCCTGAGAGGTTTCGACCGGGAGCGATAGAGAAATACGACGGAAGCACCGACCCGGAAGAGTTCCTTTAGGTCTAATCCATAGTAGATCAAAACCGGGGTCAAAACCACCAAAGGACCTCGGGTGACTGGTTTTGTATAGTTAAGAGATCCTGCATCAAAAATGTTTTTTATCCGAGTAAATTGCACCCACGGTGCATCAACTTGGCATGTGGGTGCAATTTGGTGCAAGAACTTGAGAAATGAGCATTCTAGTACAACAGCTTGATAGGTAGGTGCAATTTAGTATAAGTACTTTATAACAACTTGCAAGGTAGGTACGGTTTTGATACAGTAAACTAAGGAGTTATGCGACAACTTAATTATTTGGAGCATTTTTTTATATAGATTCATTTTTAAGTAATTATTTTGACAATATACAAGGGTTGATTTTTATAAGCATATTTATATTGTTATCCTAATAACTCATAACTGAAAGTCAATTAAACTAGATGTAAAAATTATTATATTTCGGTTGATATTTAAGAAGGTGAAGAAAACAAAAGGAAATCTTAAAGGTAATTGGATGTAAACTAGATGTGAAATATAATTCTTAAAGATTAAATTTAATATTTAAGGTAATATCCGTAGGATTACTATGTAATGGCATATTGATATCGTGAAAAAACTCACCTAGCATATGCTTAGCCAACTTGATGCATCAAAATATTAAATTATTAAGTTCCTGTACTGGAACGCACCCACTTATCAATTTGTTGCACTCAAACGTGGTACCTACCTACCAAGTTGTTGTATCATGGGTGCAATCAACTCTTTTTATCCCGGTGACAAGTTGAGGGACCTTCGGTGTACTTTTTCCTCTCTGTCAGTGAAGAGGTCAAGGCCGGCTTCCCAAGTTGGGCAGCCCAGTGGGCCGAAGGGCCTGGTGATTTCTAAGGCTTCATGACCGGTTCGTAGCCCTAATTCCTATATATACATATATATATATATATATATATATATATATATATATATTAAATATCTTAAAGGTGCTGGATTAGCTGCCTTCCGGGTGATTGAGCCAGCCGTTATCCAATACAATCGTGACACGTTGTTTTGTTACAGTTGATCAACTGCCAAGCCAGGTTAGCGCTTCTATGGGCCAGCTGATTTTTTGGCCCAATGCACGGCAGCCTTTTAGTGCTCAGCGGCCCATCGCGGCATCGGTGCCGTGACCTTGCTCCGTCCTGGGTTTCCTGTGCGCTGGATCATCCGTCGGTCGCCGCTATCCTCTCGACGCGTGCCCCTTCTCCATCCCCTATCTGACCATCAGCGACGGAGCGACGATAGTGCTCTGCCATGGGCGTACGGCGGCGACGGGGTTGGCTACGGCTGCTGCTCCACTACGCGGAGAGCCCTATGAGGACCAGGGGAGGTAATCTGCATCGCTCCTTCTTTCTTCCACTCCCTTTTTTCTTCCATATATGGAGCTGGTTCTATTTGCTGCTCCTCCTGCTTAGTTCTTGAGGATTTCCAGCTCGGTGGTTTCCCTCACCGCATCGTCTCGTGTGGTCCGACCGTTCCTGCTGTGCTCGCTCTCGATTTCCCCATTGCAGTGCCGATGTTGTGCCAGCCATACTTGTGCTCACTGTTTTTTTCCTGTTTTATACCTTCCA